TGCTGTCTTTTCTCTCTTGCACTATATTTTTATATTGCTGGAAAAAGTATATTTAGAGGAAAACATTTAATAGCTATCAAGAGTTTTTGAATCCATGGTCTTTTTTTTTTTTAACTTTATGCATTTTTTCCTGTTATAATGGTAGACTTCCATGTGAATAAATTAGATTGGAGTCTTTAAATTTTGAAATAATGAGCCGTAAATAAAGTGTTTGGAATATATTGGCCTAATAGGCTGTTCATTAAAATTCCATATATGACAGCTATAAAATGGTACATGCAAGCTTGTGACCTTTGTACATTATCTTTGTTTGTTTATGGTTAATGCCTAAGAATTATGAGATAATTGATTCCCCAGAATAATAAAAGGAGAACGGAACTGATTAAAAGGAAACTGATAGAAACTATCCAGAAACCAATTCATAAAATATCCTTAATTTTTAGGAGCACATCACTCTAAATATGTGCATCTGTGATGCAGCTGCCTTCCCATCATGTATATTACATGTAGACATTTTCGTACTTTCAACCATTAGAAGGAGGTAGTCCTTGTTCTGCTTCATGAAATATGAAAGTCTGTTTACTTAGTAACAATAATGATGTGAAAAGCTTGGGCTGAGGAGTTTCTGAGTGGCACATCCTGCCGGACTCCATGTGGTTGGGGTAGTGAGGCCATTGATACCTTGGGGTGCCAGAAGTTGGACAAGGAGGAGAGTTGAGTGCATCCTGAGACATGCACCCCAAGTTAGAATGCTTTGTCTGCCCTCATTCTCAGATCAGATGGGACATCCGATCCTAGCAACCCATCAACAGTCTTAGACCCATGTTGCCTGTTTCATAAATATTTTCCACAGTCCAGGCCATGGGCTTAACTTAGGGTTCATTCAGTTGGAAAGGAAGAGTTACCTTTTCTTATTCCCCCAATGCTCAGCTTTCTGTGGCCCCATTCTTTGTCATCTTAGGAATATATGGGCTTACAATCAGTAATAAGGAGTCAGTATGAAGTTGATCAAGCTTTTTCCTAGGACACATTTGTCTTGTTCATGCATGCTCATATGCACATCCACACTCAGAGTGTGTCCTGTAACCTCAGACATCATAGAAGGTAACTCAGTATTGACCTAAAACTATTCATTTTTCAAGATATAACAGTGTGCTCATCCTTTGTAAATCTCATCCACGTCTCAGACATGTTGGTATGAAAACATTTTAGAATAAAATTAATATGATGTACAAAGATAGCATATATTTTTTAATTTACTGAAGCTCCAGTATTTGAGTAGATTAGTGACACACCCTCCCCCCTATAATCTAGGGAGATGAGTAGTAAGGATAGAGTAGAATGTTTAAAAGTCCAGGATATTAGACTAGAGTGACACAGAGAAGCAATTTGCTCAGGCCTGACACTTACAGTTATCTTTTCTTCAAAGCCAGGCCTGTATCTCTAGGCCGAAAATGACAATTTACAGATCCCTCCATGGAAATCTCCTCACTTGGCATCCTTCCTCCCATTTCAGGATAAGTGCGTCTGCAGCCAGGCTCTCAGTTCTGATTTTCCCTGGTGATGCTTATTGTCTGCAGGGTTACTTTATATTTTAAACAACAACAGAAAATTCATTCTTTTAATTTTTAAATGTATATCATCTATATAGGAGAAATGTTATGAAATTAAATGAGTAATCGGAGCGTTCCCACTACAAAAGGTAGGAAATCACTGGTATAGACATTTTAGTCCATTTGCAGAAAATTGCCTATTCTCGAGTAGGTAGGTCAAGTGCAGAAAGAACCTCTACTTGAGATACAATTTCCTCTCCACACTTGGCTTTCTATTAGGATAGGCGGCCAAGCACTGCCCAAATTTTAACATTCGGCTGTCTTTTCACTAGCCGTTTTTTTTGGTTATATGCATTAAGGTATGTTTGCTTGGGACGGAATTCACACCCACAGCTTCAATTTTAGAACCAGAAGGACTTGAGAGAATAATGTTTAAATCTTTATTTTGTAGAAAAGGGGAAAGTGTTAAGTGACTTGCCCAAGGTAATGCACCCCATTAACATCAGGCAGAGGCAGATAGAGAGCCAGGTCTCCCGAATCCTCAGCCAGGATGCCTTTTCCTGGCCCAGAGCAACTTGGTGTGATGGAAGCATTTGAATTTGCTCACCTGCTTTGGAACTTTTGTTTCACTCAGGTACCTCATGGCATGCTGGGTAATAAGACAGTCACACTTTATTTACCAAAAGAAAAAGACCAATTTCTGGAGCTGTGTGACATAAACAGCAAAGCTGGTGACATTTCTCCTTTCCTCATTGACTAATTTTCTTATTAAACAAGAAACATCAAACTTTACTCATGAACATTTGAGGAACTTTTTAATCAGCCTAGAAAACTCCACTAAGAATAAGAGTAGGCAATGGAGATGTAAAGAGCTCACTTCCACTTGGACCTCGGCTTTCAGTGGTGAGTCACTCTACCCAAGTGTGCACAAATGCTCTCTTTGTCGGGGTGAGCAGAACAGCCCTTGTCATCAGCATTCCATAAACACAGAACTCTCAGGTCTGAGAGAGCCCCATGATGTACTTTTGGAATAGACCCAAGCCCACAGCTCTTTTGTAGTTTTTCCTAAATTTGCGTCAGCTAGACAGACAGGAAGTCTGGGCTGCCATTTTCCCAGAAACCCTAGCCTGAGGCCCGAGGAAGCTAGCTGTAAGGCTTGTTCCCTATTGGGGAAGGCACCTGTGGTCAAACCTGTGCCATTACTTCAGTTTCAGAAATCACCTTGTGGACATTTATAACCTCTCATTAGGAATAAGTGGCATGGGGACTGAAGTCCAAATTGTCCCAAAGAGAAAACAATGAGTTTGTATCCTCTGTCAAGAGAAGCCATGTTTCCTGTTTGTTATCCATGGACCACCCTCTGAGAGGGTAATGGGGCAAGTAGCAGGTGAGACTGCCCTGGGGCCAGCTAAGAGTAGATTGCCTGGGGCTGAGATCAGTGTGTGTGTGAGGCTCAGTTTGGCTTTGGGGTATTTGTACACACAGCCAGTCAGTTTATCATAAAATTCCACAGACTTCAAGATTTATCTTTTTTCAGACATCTTAGGAACTGAAACGTTTTGGATCTAGTTTACAAAGTTACCAGAGGAATAACTTTAGGTTAGGGCACTCAGCAGATAAATAAATGTAGCTACAATCTGAAGAAGAATGACACCTGACCATTGACTAGGTGGCAAAAGCCTCACTCTAGTCACTGTGGTCCTTCCATTGGGGACCAGTAACCCTGCAAGCTTGCAGGGCCCTCAAGGTGTTATTCAGCTGCAGCACACCACCATACAGATGCTCATAATGGCTTAGTGCATCCCCAAAGAGCCGTCCCATGAGCTTCATTATTTTTTCAGTTAAAAGCCAAAGAAATAGATAAAATATTTATAAAAATATATGCAATATAGGCTCTTTTTCAAGGGTCAATATAAACTTAGAGAACTCATATTCCAGGCTGTTATGGGGCAAAGTTGTGTCTATCCGACTTGGGGAGCACCTAATTGGTCTTTCTTAGAAGCCCCTAGATAAATTATCTTATAGGCTTTTTTTTTTTTTTTTTAACTTATCTTGGCCTTGCCTTTGGCATCTCAACATGTTTATTCACCACCTTTGGGTGACTCTGTGAACAGTGCAGCCACCTCTCTGCTGGTACTCTGTCTTACCCGAAGCTTGCCTTGGCCTTCATTCACTGTCTAAACTCTGAATGACAGCCGCAGAGGGCGATCTCTTTATTTTGATGTCTCCATTTTGTTCCCACTTTCATAGATTCTGGGGCCAGGTAGATTTATAGACTTCCTGGACCTTGACATGTGTACCCAGCATGAAGCCCTGCCTGCAACCCTGGGGCTCATCCCCCACCAGGCCTGTGGCCATTTCTCCCATCTGTGCTGGGGGAGCCACAGAACCAGCTCGGAGGAATGGGGAGGGGGGTACTTTTTCATTGTTGTAGTTGTTGCTAATTGACCTGTTACGTAGATCATACATTTCTCCTAATATGTGTGTTGGGGCGGGGGGAGACAAAAAAAACCATCCCCCATTCCTACCCATCTTATTATACCCCAGGTTTGTGTGTTTATATACACTTATATTTTTAACTGAAGAAGAAAAATAACCCTGCCTTTGTACGCATTCTTTTTAACAACTTGTTTATTGTTGTATCCAGGTGACAAGCATGGTAAGTATTTTCACCAGTTGAGTATTCTGTATTTTAGCTGTGCTTGGCAGACTTTTTGGCTAGCTTTGTGTTATCAGCCTTGGCTTAACTAGAAAAGACCCATTTAGGAAAAGGAGAAAGTACTTACCTGATAGCATCCCCCATGTCCTTGGCTACAGAGGGAACCCATGTAGCCTTCTACTCACAGTGGGATACCTGAGAGAGCATGTGCCCCGCCAGCATGCTGCTTGGCCCATCAGTTACCGCCCTGCCCACCCCACCTGCCCCACTGCTTCTGAGCCTCCCTGACCAGGCATCTGCCAGGGCTTCCAGGCCTCGCATGACTCCAACAGCTCCTGGCACTGTGGCCCATTGATAGCCCACACAGTCAGGGCCTCCTGACGCTCTGGATGGTCCTACCCTAGATCTACCCTCCTCCCCTATCTATATGCTTAAGAGGAGGGCCCTTTTTCCCTTGAGTGTGTTAATTGGAGAAGTCTGGCTTTGGAAGCTGGAAAAATAAATACATTGTTCATTCTTCTCAGAGGCTTCCCATTCTGTTGAAAACAGATTAACAAAAAAAAATATTTTTTAAACCTTGCTACTGGGTGTTCTCAGTAAATGCTCTAGTAGCAGTAGGTTCCGTGTGTTTTAGCCTTCTGGCTGTGTTTATTTATCCGTGCATGTTTGCTTTTCCGGCCTCTTTTGTGGCTCTGTATTTTAGTCCATGTGCTCGTGGCTGTGCCTGTGTGAGCTGCCTGGTAGCCATGCGTTATGTATTAAGTCTGTGTGTCACTGTCACCTTCAAGGATCAGACTGCCAAGGATAAGGCCCTTCAGCACATGGCCGCCATGTCCTCAGCCCAGATCGTCTCAGCCACTGCCATTCACAACAAGCTGGGGCTGCCTGGGATTCCACGTCCGACCTTTCCAGGGGCACCGGGGGTGAGTCACCGCTGCATCCAGAAGCGATGGCCCTGGAGGCATGGGGTCACCATGGACCAACATGAAACTGACCACCTGGCACTTACTATGAGTCGGTCAGATGTTAGAGAACCACCTTGTGGTAAAATGATGATGGGTGCAAAAAGGCAAAAGAAATAAAGAAAGGGAGGGAGAGAGAGATGGGGGAGTGGAGGGAGCCTTAGTCCCTGAAGACATAGAATCAAATATCACTTTTCTGGTGCCCTCCTGGGCTGTGATCTGCCTGTTAAGCTTTTTCTAGTCCTTGGTCTCTGTTCCTATGTCCTCAGGGTCACTTTATGATAGCTAGCCCCTAACGGAACAAAGAATCCTGTTAACATTTTCATTTTGCACCTACCAAGGGCTGAGACACTAAACGTTATGGTCCCATTTAATGTTCATTATAATCCTTAATGCCTCTTACTGTTACTGCCATTTTACAGATGAGAAAACTGATGTTACTTGGAAACAAAACAAGAGTTTGGGAACATGATCATAATCACATGGGTAATGGTGATAGGACTCAAACCCAGGGCTCTGTGATTTCTTTTATTAATACATAGTGCTGCCTCCAGCAGGAGTCAGCAGGTACCAAAGGCCCCAGGAAAACTCACAGCAAAGGAGGTGTCTGCGCTGCTGTTTGGAGTTCCTAGCTGGCCTCTTGTTTGGAGTTTTGTCCTCTTCCTAGCTGAGCCTTCGGTGCTATGAGCCCAGGCAGCAGCACGTTACACAGGGAGCATTCAAAATGGAAAGGGAAATGAAGGGCAGGTGAGCGCAGGGGTAAAGCAGTCAGATGAAAATATTTGTGAAGACTTTGCACCCAGATCGCTGCCAGGTGTTGCTGCCTGTTCCTGCCAGTGGAGATTATCTGGAAGAGGAGCTAGAGGGAGCCTTGGGTTGCTAGGCCGAGGATATAGGCAGCGGTTTTCTGCCCGGCAGAGACCACACCTGCATTTAGGGAGGGTCACTGAGCCTGGCGGATGATCTGAACCCGCTATCTTTAGCAGGGGGTGCAATGCACGTGCATCCTGAACTGTGCTTTGAAGTGAACTCATAATCCTGAAGCCTCTTACATTTTGCCTTTCAGTTCTGGCCGGGAATGATACAAACAGGGCAGCCAGGATCCTCACAAGAGTAAGTCTGAGGAGGGTCCGGCATTGACTACAAGGGCCTGGGCACCGCCCACCCTGGGGCCAAACTGCATGAGAGCTTGGAGGGGCGGGGAAAGGAGATTTAACCTGGGATCACCGACATCATCCCTCATTGTTACCTGCTGAAGCCAATAGGAAAGAGTCTGCTCAGGTCCTGGAGACTTGGAAATACCTTGCTTCCACCTTAAGTTTAGTGGTCATGTAGCTTGAAACAGGAAGAAGATTCCAATCCTTTCCTGGCTCTGAAGGGCAAAGTGTAGGGTTGTCCTGAGAAAGCACCTGCCGGAGAGTGGGCAGTGGGGTGATTCCATAGCCCATTCTGTCCCGGCTTTCCCTGTGGTACAGCGGCTAATAGAAAATCCCAATGGTGCTTTGAGGGCCAGGGTAGCAAGCTCAGTAAACCAGAAGATGAGGGCAGTCTGGGGTAAAAGCAGACTGAACTTGAGCTATTTGGCCTAGAGAAGGTAAGCAGGTGCCTATGACTGGTGACCACGAACCTCGGTCTCAGAGGCAGATGTCTAGTTCCTCCCACTGAACTGGTGTGAAGCTGGTGGCGGGTCCCCAGCAGCCTGTTGGCCCCTCAATCGTCAGGAGTAACCCTCTCAGTCTTAGTGGAGCTCTGCCTGGGATGTGCCCCACTTGCAGGCAGGGAATCTGACAGTGGGAAAAACCCTAGGCGGGGTCCCTAGCCCTGGGAGGCTGAGGCCAAGACTGAGTTGTAGCCACTGCTACAGACGCCATTTCTGACTCTCTCCATCCTTCCGTCCCCAGTGTCAAGCCCTTCGTGCAGCAGGCCTACCCCATCCAGCCAGCGGTCACAGCCCCCATTCCAGGTGAGTCTCTGAGGGGCTCCCCCTCACTTTTTCCACAGCTATATGTCCTCCCTGACTTGCAGAGCCATGGCTGCCCCTGCCGTGCCTACATGTTTAAGGCCGGGGTTAGCCTGGATCTATGGAGGGTCACAGGGGTCCCTTTCCAGGTCCCTTATTCCTCTCAGTCACCTCGCGAAGAGCTCTTCAGATGCATTGTTTTAAGGAAACAGGAAGTCTCGTGACTTTCACTCGGAACCCGGTCATCCTTGGAAGGGGAAGTTACTATGGTTCCTTCCACATCATTAACAGGCTGGCTGAATTGGGCAATCCAGGTCCTAAAGGGTATATTCACCCTTACCTACATACGTGGGTTTTAATTCCTAGTACCCTTTCTTCAAAGGAGAGCTGCCATGGAAGGCCAAACTAGAAACCATGTATCTGTTCCCCGCTACACACACGTGTGCATGTGGAATGACATGTGTGGAGCTGCTCTCCTTTACAGACCCCAGGCTTATGCCCTCTGCTCCAACACCACGGAGCACTCTGAGGGAATGTTCATACTGCCGGTGATTGCAGGCTTAAGAAAGAGGTGGAGAAACACAAGAAGTATCTTGTGTGCCAGCCTCACAGGAGATCTTTGTGACATTCATTCCCACACTTCAGTCGGTCTCACTCTGGCCCCCAGCACGGCCCCTTTGTCCAGGAGCAGGTGTCCTCAGCATGAGTTGAAGTTGGCTTTATGGAGAGCCACATGCATTGTGTTTTATCAGGACACTGCCTCAGTTTCCTTGGCCAGAGTCTCACCCCTACCTCACATGACAGTTGGTGGAACAAGCCTTTTTTCTTGGGTCACCTGTTGATAGGGCCCTGTCCCCATATTTGCCTGCGGCCCAAAGGGAGGTGAATGGTCAGCATTAAAGGTGACGATTGGTCTTTCAGGGTTTGAGCCTGCGTCAGCCCCAGCTCCCTCAGTCCCTGCCTGGCAGGGTCGCTCCATTGGCACAACCAAACTTCGCCTGGTAGAATTCTCCGCTTTCCTCGAACCACAGCGAGACCCAGACTCGGTGAGTGTGCTCAGAGAGGGGTGCCTCAAATCCAGCACTTGCTGTCCATTTCCATTCCCCTTTACCATCCTTTCCCCTGCCCTCATGCCTGACAGATAACCCGAGTGGATGTGGACCTGAAGGAATAGCCAACCAGCTTTTCAGTTAAGTAAAAGGTATTTCCATGGACAACTATGTGGAATTTAGAGCTGAATTTAGAGTTGAATTTGTGGATGCTTTGGACCTGACACTCCAGGGAACAGTGGTGCTGAAGGGAAGGACTTTAATGGGCTCTTGCATTTGGTAAAATTTAACCTTTATTGAGCCTTGCCTCATGACTGGTATTAGGCAAAGCTGCTTATATATACCTATACAATTACATATTACCCTCATCAAAACCTTATAAGGCTAGGTACTGTCTGAGAGATGACAAAACAGAAGTTAAGTAATTTCCCTGAAGTCACATTGTTAATAGTTGATGGATTAGAGATTCAAACTTATGTTTTTCAAACTCAAGCCTAAACATTTAGCCATGATTCTACACTGCCTTTCCAAAATAGCAGCTATGTTTTCTCACGATAGCAGGTTGTTAACTTCTTAAGGAGAAGTAACAAGATGGTACTTTAGCAATTGAACATAGAATATGTTGTAATGTCATAAATACCAGGAAAGTTGGCATCTGGACTCTATTCAATGCTGCGCTGCCACCCCCCCCCCCACCCTTCGAGTGCTGTCATCCCATTGTTTCCCTGCCGTCCATCATTTCCCATACATATGTGAGCCCCCCCACCCGGTAAGCCCAAGGCCCTTATCTCACTCACTCCCACTCCTTGGCTGTGAGGATGAGCACTGCATCTGCATGTGGGTGAGTCCAAGGCACACACTGGAGAAATCGTGAGTTTGTCTTTGGGAATCTTCACCAACTCCTTCCTGTGTTCCTATCGCACCCACCTTGCTAATCTCCAGGGCCACTGAAAGCCATGCTTTCTGTGCGCCTGCCGCCTTGCTGTCATTCTGTTATCAGGAAAAAGTGTCTCGAGTGGTTTCACCATCTGTTGTGAATAACTCAGATTCTGAACCATCACGGGTGACCTCTCCTGGGAGGATTTGCACTTGAGCTTGGTGGAAAGCCTCTGGTGACAGGACGGGGGAGACGCCCTGGGCCAGAGGCTTCCACCGGCCGTCACCCCAGCAGAGGCTCAGGAACACCATGCAGCTACTGACATTTCTGTCTATGAGTTGTGAACTCTGGCAGCTGGTAGGAAAATAGAGCCTGCTCCAAAATTAGGGGGAAATGAAGGAGATGTAAGTAGGTCAGTGGGCCTATTAAGGCAGGTATAGGAAAATAAGGTTATTGAAAACAGGGGAGAGAAAGCCAACTAGGTCATTTTTTTCAGTAGCTGAGTGGTTTTACAGAAAGGGTGATGGCAATGGCCTTTCCCTGATGAATGAAAAGGTTTGGCTTTGTAGCTTCGACTCTAATCCATGACTTTAACTGTCCTAAAACAAACGGAAGGCCAGGTGCGAGTCAACATTCTTGGGCCTCTTGAAAAAGTAATTATATTTTAGGGGACCCAAGATGGGGACTGAGAGAAATTGGGATTCAGTCAGCAAATACTTTTTAAACACCACATGCCAGCCCTGTTTTAGGTGTTAGGGATTCAATAGCAAAGGAAACAGTCCTTATCCTAGTGGAGCCTCCCTCCTAAGTAGAGATGACAACAGTAACCACCCCAACAAGTGCACACATGCGTATATATACACACACACACACACACACACACACACACACACAATGGGAGGTGCTGCTAAGTGCTTATGTGGAATGGCGATCCTGCACAGGTGAAAATCATGTGCTCTTTAGAATAAAAATGCATAATTTCAGAAAATGTCATATGTTGATATTTTTGGCTTGTTATATTATGATTTTAAGTTATATCTATCAGATAATGCCAACCAAAACTGCACCATTATTCTGAAAGTATTTTACTGAATTGTAACATTAGTCTCACTTGTTAATGTTGCTTCTAACATTCCTGTGTTATAAACTCTGATTTTACAGTGATACATAAATGAGTTTAATTTATATAAGTGAATTCATGCCAAGTTTCGATTAGTACATGTATTTGATTTTAGTGGAGATGTGAGGGTCCGGAGAGTTCTTATGCTAGAGAAAGCAGGGAACCCTTAGAGAAAAAGGTGATTGAGGAATTGAAATGGGGGAGAATTAACAAAATTATTTACAGCATTTTGATGATGACTCAAGTGCCAGCTTGTTAGATTATATATTATGTACTTTATTTTGCAAACATGAGGTGCTGTTACAGTGAACATGTAATGGCACTTCAGGACCAAGGTCACACTGAAAAATTTGTAGCATGTGAATGGTTCCAACTATAGGAAAATTTGAAGTCACCTAAAATAATTCATCTGGGACATTTAAATGAATATGGATGTACTCTACTTAACACTTTAACATCAAGTATTAAGTATTTAATTTTATAAGGAAGCCAACAAGGTGACAAATAATTAAAGTTCCCCAAACAGATTTAACTCTATGTTTGGAGATCTTTGTCTCCATGTAGGCATGCACACATTTCTCCCTACTTCTCCTTAATGGCTTAGGCTCATTGGAATCATGGGGTTATAGATAGTGCTGGCAAAAAGCCAATAAATAAATCAATGTGCTGGGTGCAGTGCTAACTGTTTTTCATTAGTGATTTCTTCTATCCTCCTCATAGCCCAATGAGGTAGGTAATTCTGTTCCATTCTAGAGGAGAGGCTTGGAGAGATTGCAGTTTTGCAGGTAGTCAGTGGCTGTGGCCAGGTTTGAATCTTGGGGCTCTCCTATAGAGTACTATTGGGAAATGGCACTATGTCCCAGCAGTAGATAAGACATGAGCAAGAAAGCCAAGAGGAAAACCTAGTTTGCCACAATCCAGGGTGGCCTCCCTTAGTTACCACTGCTTTGGAAATTCACTCCTCAGTCTAACACATAGTCTTCATTGCCACCACTGAAGACTTCTTCCTGACTCTGCCACCCTTAGCATTGGCAGCACTAGTAGTAGTACCAGCAGTAGTACCAATCTGTGGAGATAGCCAACACTGTGCATTATTTTACTTAATCCTGTGACATGCCTGCCCAGGGTTAGGCAGCTAGCTGATGTTGGAAATGGGATTCAGATCCAGGCCTGCGGATTCCACATCCTGAGATTATAACCAAAGAGTGTATGGTCCACGTGCACCTGTGGCCTGTTTTGTAGGCTATAGCTGGCTATAATCTATAATCTAAAGGAAGAATAATCTGGGGGATTAGCGCCCCCTGCTGGCTTTGCATCAAGTATAAACCAGATGGCAGCATTTCCTCAAGTTGGTTGTTTATATTGGTGGAGAACCAGCAAGTCAGTCCCTCTGTTACCTTTGGCTCCACTAGAAGCTAAGAGAAAAACAGCAGAGGGTTAAGAAAGGAAGATTAAAAAATTAACACAATATTAGAAGTGGTTAGTAGTGCTTGAAAATACACTTTTTACATGATTTCAGTGTTGCATATCAAAGGACTTCAAATGTTAAGTGTAAGATCCTCCATCGCCTGTAATCAGGGCCCCGTTCCTGGAGACTGAGTTAGGCAGCTGCTGATTTGAGACTGCTGAAAACCTGCTCTTGGTGAGCTGTAAGCTGAATCCTGTGCGTGCATGGGGAGTGGTTTTCCTGATAAAGCCTAGCGGAATCCCTCCATCCCCACCCTGGGACACAGCAGGTTCCTCCAGCCCCCCACAGCCCAGCCACATCCTGTTCCACAGCTGGCAAAACCCTGATGGTGCAGACTTCCCAGGTACCAGACTGTATGCTTAATGCTTGTAATGGTCTACATGTCAGAATATGCAGGACCGTGTGCAGGAAGAGAGTATGTGAGGGTAGAGTTAGGTAGGTATTACACAGACAGAGAAGGGAGAATTTTGGGATGGAGAGGAAGGGACAAGGAAATTGAAAATGCACTGTCTTGCCAAAGAATAAGAAAAATTCCACGATGTGGTATGGTAACAAACCGAACAGAAAAGGCACAATTAGCTCCTAACAAACACCTTGCTACGTGATAGCAATAACATTAATCACTGGCACCTACTGAGCTGTGTTATAAGCACTACGCCACACATTTGGCATGGGTACTGGTCTTATGTCCTGTCTATCAGGGGAAGGAATGGATGCTCCGATATGTTAAGATTCATTATCAAGATCCACTCCCAGGAAGTGGCTATGCCAAGGTTTGGCTCCACTCTGTTCCACCTAACCACTTCACTATGGTTTTGAAGAAATCAAAAAATTCTTCAAACATAAAAACAGCTGCCTTTCAAAGTATCAGCTGCCTTTCAAAGTAACAGGTGCACGTGGACCATACACTCTTTGGTTATAATCTCAGGATGTGGAATCCGCAGGCCTGGATCTGAATCCCATTTCCAACATCAGCTAGCTGCCTAACCCTGGCGCAGGCTGCATGTTAGCAGGGCCCTTCACATGGAGTGAGGATCGGGCTGGCTTTTCTTTGAGCTCCTTTTCCAACCTGCTGTTTTGTGAGTCTTCTAGGGGTTTGGGGCAAGGCACCAGATAGGCCAGCGATGTTTCCACTGGGACTTTAGAGCATATCTCCTGTCATGCTCTTGTGACAACACATTCGTACTAATTGAATGAGAAACCTGGTATCTGAATGCTTACCAGTGGTGTGAGATTTGGGGAAAATGACTTCACGGCTCAGCCTGACTTCACTTGGTACAGTGGGCATAATAGGACCACTCTCATGATTGCCGCAACAATTACAGTTAGCAGCATCCCTGGACCTAATGAACACTCCACACATGGTTTTTGGAACCTGAATGTCTTTTAGAAATGTAACAGGAAATCGGGCCAGACAGATGGAGGGATCTGGCTTGGGAAGATCTGCTCACCAGGTGTTTTGGACTCTATTGAAACTTAGATGGGAGCCAGAATATTTTTTTAAATGAATTCTATTTTTTTTTTTTAGTAGA